GCTACATCTCCAGAACTTCTTGCACACTGACCACTAGTGAGCCAGAACAGGGATGACAAGCCAGGACATTTCTTACCACCTGGTCAAACAATATGTGCTGCTGTTGCTGTCAATTGAGACAAACACCTGAAGCAAACAGTTTCTAAAAGCTACAAGTTGTAGAGGTCTACAACAAACCTCCTTTAACTTGTTAACTGTCTTGGGTAGACAGCAATGTCCAAGTCTTGCACTGTCTTAGTTATTATGGCTCCAAAGGCACCGCAGCCTTCCAACAGGTCGTGGTTTTTTGGGACCTACTGCTTGAATTTTTCACTTTCCACCTTTTCTCACATTCAAAAATAGTTAAATTTGTATTTTCACCCCAAATGCAGCATCCTATGTATTAATTAGCATGTCCTTTAGATGTTCAATCTTTATTATCCTAACATGCTTTTTTAGGTTCACATTTTCACCCCATCTGCATCTCATCAATGCTTTGAATAAAGACTGGAAATATACAGAAAAATCAGACATTTTCAAACATCCTATTACAAGTTTTTTAATCATACTATCTTCACTAGATTTGTTTTCTTATTACAAGAACATATTATTATTTAAGCATCTATACTGTTCTCACAATAAGTTTGAGATATGTTTTAATAGCATATTTATAAGTTTAAAGCCCCTTTCTGAGGAGACTCTTTTCATAAATCTTAAGTGATCACTGTTTCTATATTAATCCAATTTATTAAACAAATAAAGCAGTATCCTGATGTAAGCCCAAGTTAACAAGATTTACAAGAATCCAATTTACCAGGGATGATTTGTGTAACAACATAAACAGCTTACATCAGCAAGCAGAGTTCTGCTCTACAGCTTTTGAAATTGTAGTCTTTATCACTGTTTTACCATTTCCCACCCCAGTTTCAGAAGCACAGTAATCCATGTGAGTGAGCTGTTGAGTGAGAGTCTAGAAACTGCTTCCTTAAGCACATACAATGGAAAATTAGGGAAATCAGTAAAAGTTGTCAGGATCGACCCAATGCAGAGCTGCTCAAGACCACTTTCACAAGCAGTTTCTGAGTAATAAATTATATAGAGTTTGTAGTTGGAAAGCTTTCCTTTATGTAGTTGAGCTTAGAGCTCCGAAGACAAGCTAAATTGCTGGCTTTCTAGAAATGGTGATACCACACAATGTAAGCAGTTGCCTAGTTAAACCAAGTTTGCATGTTTATTAAATCCTTTCTTACATGCTGTAGATGCAAAAAGCTATCTTCTACGCTTCTCTGTGTGTCAGTTTTTGCTCTTGACAGCAGTTGGAGTTTGGTATTCTCCAATTTAAAGCCACTGACATTTCTAGGGCAAATAAATTCGTTTTATAGAACAAATTGTACTTGTAGCATTATGTTCAGGACTAGCTTATTCTGACACTCTAGTTAACCATTTGATGAAATAAATTTACAACTACTAAAAGCCCATCTCAGGACCAAAGCTATATATGGCTGAGTTAACCTTTCACCAGTAGAATTCTGAATTTACTACATAAACTGGTTGAGATCAGACAAGCACAATCCTCACCATCACTTTTTAAAATACATTTCCGTCAAACAACCTTGCTGAGGTTTGCTATGCATGCTAGTCTGATCTCCACACCTGTAAATGCCAGTCTATTAGCCTCAAAGGTTAGCCCTTTAGCCTCTGAATAAAGGACAATGTATGTTCACAGATCTTAAACGTGTTGCATAAAATTAGAAGCTGCAACTTTTTAACGCAAAGATTATACAGAACAAGGGTAGTGTAAATAAACTTCTGCTGAACAATCACTAGACAATGCTTCCAGACCAAACTGTATTCTACATCTGTAGAACAGATCTGCACTTGACTCTGAAACAAAGACCCCCACCACTGCCTCAGATGACATACTACGTTTCATCTTACGAGAATGACAGGCATGATGAAGGAGGAAGTTATGTGTCTTAACCTAAAATAAAAACAAGCACAGAAAAATGGAAGCTTTGTGAAACCCAGCATTATGGTCACAGAAATGGAAATCTAATATTTATACACAGGAGAACTTAAAATCATGAAATATAGACCACTTAAAACTTCACCACGACACATGACATGGCTCTCTGTTCCAAATAGGAAGCCAATGCCCCAAATCGATGTTAAATATTTACCTCCACTGCCTCATATTAAGACTTTTAATTATATTTATATATCATAAAGACTTTCAATCATATTTATAATTGCTGTCATTAGGATCTTCCTTAAAACACAAAGAGAAGACTCAAATTAAGCTTGTTCCAGTAAATTTTTCAAGTGATAGGCACCAAGATGCCTCTCCCTGGACTGCTGCTGGCTAGCCTAAGAATCCGGCCACATGTGGTGGCTCATCTCCACTAACACCAAAGTTAGTGCTAGCTGCTCCAAACACTGACTTTGCACAAGCTTCATTTCATTCCAACTCATTAGGTTTTCAACCATAAGCTCTACACAAAACTGGCTTTGCCACACAGGCTCTTTTATTCAGGCAACAGGAAACATTGCTCACGTAACGGTGGCCAAATAGCATCCAACAACATAAACTGTCCAGTGGCAAAAACTAAGTACCCTTAAGTAATGTTATGCCCCCCCCCCCCCCCCATGGACATTTAATCAGTTCTCTATAGACTGTACCATACATTTTTGTTTCGACTCTTTCACCCTGTGCCTAGTATGCTTTTGAATTGCTCATTTACGTTACCCATCTCCTAAGGATGCATTTGGGTGCCAGTGACTAAAAGCATCTCCATTTAGTTCATAGTAAATGCCTTTAAATACTGTAAATAAACATTTCCTAATTTCACAGAATCATAGAATAGTTAGGGTCGGAAAGGACCTTAAGATCATCAAGTTCCAACCCCCCTGCCACGGGCAGGCACACCTTGCAGTAAACCATGTCACTGAAAACTCCATCCAACCTGGCCTTGAACACTGCCAGGGATGGAGCATTCACAACTTCCTTAGGCAACCCATTCCAGTGCCTCACCACCCTAACAGTAGAAAACTTCTTCCTTATATCTAACCTTAACTTCCCCTGTTTAACTTTGAATCCACAGTCTCATGATACAATATTAAAGCATATTGTAAAGACATTTGTTAACTGGATATTTGCTGGGCAGTCATCCTCAAGTAGTTCATCACTTTTAACTCTGTTCTACTTCATATTTTTCAGGCTTGCACAGCATCTCTTTTACCCTATGTATTAAGCTGACATTTTCACCAGCACTGTAATTTTCCCATAGGAATCACTACCAAAGAATAATCACCCAACTTCTAATGAAGGAGGGTGATTATTCTTTTAACCCTATGGAGGGTCAACCTCCTCCATAAAAATCAAACCTACACCTCCCAAGCTGCAGATAGGCTAGAAGTTAGTAATTAAAGGTTGCCGAAACCTAGCCCACACCATACCTTTTCACTACTGAAACTGACTGCAAGCCAAATTCCTTGTTTCATGAAACTACAGCTTCATTTCTAGCAGCACTCCTGGAACACTAAGTTAGTGATGACTGATGCTAAAATAGGCAGATACATTTAACCAGCTTAAAATCACTTACATAAGACCTGAAATAATCAGAGAGAAGACTTACTATCTGCCAGGAGTTTGATGTAACATGATTGAGTCTTAGTGCATTTCAAGACCATTTTAATTATTTTCCTAAGCACAACAGTTTGATTTTATTAATTAGTGCGAATAGCAACATTCAAAGGAAGAATGCACAAGAATATTCAAATATATAACTACATTTCTCTAATAAGGGATACAACACAGCATGTAGAGAGAATAACCAGAAATTCTTCAAAGATCATAAAAATTACAAACAAGTTATATATTTACATATATGTGTATATTCTACAGAAAGTATTTCCAGAATACACACAATGCAAGCTAGAGAACATAAAGTGCTGTTCCAGTGAGATAACAGAGCTTTTAGAAAATATATCAAAGCTAGCTGTGTGCAGCACTGAAAAAACTACCGTAATAATTCTTCAAATACACTAAAAGGCTACCAAATTCAGTACGGTAACAACTATTTTTGGTTTCACAGATCTTTTCATTTTATCTAAATGGTACTAAATGGGAACACAGGAATATGACTGAAAGATACCTGAGACACTTTCTCTATTGCTCTGACAGACTAATATCATTACTTTGACAAAGCAAGCTATGGGAATTAGGGAGACTCATACCAAAAATACAATAAATTTCAGAAGCACTACTAGAATTAAAGGAAGCAGAGATGACCAGCATGGCTGCCAAGAGTAAAAGCAGAAAGAATATTCCTACAAAGAGCCTGAAGTTTTCACTAGGGAATTCACAAACCATAACTGTCTAATGATACCCTAGGCAATAAGACAACACAAGCAGTTTCACATGCAAATAAGCACAAGGAGAACAACTAGTGCTTGGTTTTGGTTTTTAAACAGACTATGAACACGTCAGGTCTACTGATGAATTTCACTTTGCATCCAGTCAGTTCGCAGAGATCCACTGGGAGTGTTTTCAACAGGTTTAGCAAGGCAGAGGGACTGTTTAACAGCCCGCAAAAAGTAGTGCTGAGACTTTTCTTCCCCTAAAGGAAAGGATCTTTCAGTAGAAGTAATTGTTAATAGATCTTTACACAAAGGTTCCAGGCACAAGTGGTTTATCACAAAAGTTCTGTTTAAACACATAAATACCAGAGACATTAAATGTGACCATTGGCTACAGGATTACACACAGATGACTTACCATCACATGGACTGCTCTCCCACAAATCATAACATGCTTTAATAAAACTAGTGCACAACATGATTTTTCTTTTTCATTTCGGAGTAACACATAAGGATACAAAGAATTACATTCGATATTTCAATATGCTTTCTTCCTTACCTCTTTACTGTAAAAGGCAGCGGTTTTGAACCAACATTTGGCACAGATAAGTAATATCAGCATTTAAGCTCTTTAAATCTCTGTAAAAATAGTTTTGTCTTACCATAACCATGGGCAGATCCTGGGCTGAGAGATGGTTGGTGCAACTCTTTGGTTGGAGTAAAATAAACTTCTTTCCCCTGGTGCTGGCTCATTTTTCCTGGAGTTAAATGCTGTGACTCATCGCTGTTTGTTACCACTGCTGAAATACAAAATGGATGCTCATTCAATAATGTTATGTGCTTGTGCATAGATTTCTATTAACAACTTCACTGCTATTTATGAAATGTATTCAAATGTTATGTTGTGAAATTTTTCATTCTAGAAAATTAGGATTCCAAACCAAGGATCTGCTTTCGAGGGGATGGCATAAAGAAGCCAACAAGACTGACAGAAGACATGAGGCAGAAGATGAAAACAAAAACTAGGAGGTAGGGAAAGGCTGCTACTGAATATAGATACAGTATTAAGCTGTTACTTAACACCTGAAATCCTGCTTTTCTTTCCACTTTTGTGACAGTTCTTGTTTTAACTAGCTACAACACAGTCAACCCAGAAAACTACTTGCAGACCAGGCTGTGCCATCATCCCAGAAAGTTAAGATGAACATATGTATATACATCACAAGAACCAAAACTTGCTATGACAGCACATAGATCACATAAAGATCACATACAGACTCTGTCAAGGCACAAAGCCAGACTAGATGGGGCTTTGAGGAATCTTCTCTGGTGGAAGATGTCCTTGCCTATGGTGGGAGAGTGGAATTATATGATCTTTAAGGTCCCTTCCAACCCAAACTATTGTGTGATTCCATATGAAGACAAAGGCTTAAAGCAGAAGTTTCTCTTTGAACCTTACCAGTCTGAAAGAATTGTGTGACATTTTCTAGCTATTTGTAAGATCACCTGCCCAGCCATCCTGTTTATGGTGTCCGTACATTTCCTTAAGCTGCACACAACAAAACTGCACCCTTTTTCATAGTGGAAGAATGGCAGTTAACACCTGTCCTGTGGAGTAGATATACTGACAAAAAATGATCAGAGGAGGAAACAATAGATGTTTACTAAAGAAGAGCCTGCACTGGGCAAACATGCTGTCCTTGATTCTGAAGCTTAAGAATAGCTTACCTTTGAGGCTACAGACTGGCATTTACATTTTTCCAAGTTCCCTTCTATCCCAAAACATTCTATGATTGTAATTCTTCTTAGGTTTCACATGCCATCTCTACAACTTGAAAAACAGATTTGGTAGGCATACGCTCAATGTGTCTGACAAGACAATAGCATTGCCAATCATTCCTTCCACTCAAAGGCCTGCTGATTTATTTTCAGCCCTCAGGCTTCACAGAGCACTCATCCAAGAAAAATATCTCTATTCATCCCTTCCTTTACCTGAGTGAGTTTAAACCCATTCCATCTATCTCCCTGAAGATGAGCAGAGAGTTATTTTAGGGAAGAAACATCAATTAGTAAATACCAAAGCCTCCTCACAACTCTTTGGAGGGAACATTTCAATACCAAGAGAACTATTAGAGCCTGTAATACATACTTTATTCAGTTTCCTCATACTGGCCATCAAATTACTGATACATAGTTTGCCAGTATGATTCATGCATCAGAAGAAACACAAATTGGGGTCTTTGCAGCCAATTTATTTCATCGGATAAAGCTATGAAGAATAACAAAATATCTGAAGTGGCAGAGTCCCAGCTCCTCTGTTTCTATAATGAGCACGTGAAAGTGCCTACACTCTTGAAAATAGCACAAGGACATCAGATACAGGAAAAAGGTTTATCATAATTTAATTCTGCACTATTTTGTAATGTCTATAATAAGAAATATAAGCTAAAACCATGGCTTCTACATGGATTTCTCACCAAGAAGAAAGAATTGGTGTCTGTACCTTTCTCTTCCCCACATAAATCAACTCTCAACCCCAGGCAAAATTATTCTGCCAGTAAGATGATCATAGTAATGCACATGAACCACTGAAACTACTAAGCCTTCAGATGCATGCATGCACCTATATACATACACTGAAGTTTTCCCCATGATCACATCACACCCAATCCTTACTGAAGTATTACAGACCACACACGTTTGTTTCTGCAGATGTTAAGTTACTGACATTAAGCAAACTATAGAGCCCTATAATAGACAAGCTCAAAATAAAAACTGTTTCTGAACCATTATTTCCATGACTTTACTATCTCTACTACAATAACATTTGAAGGTTTCATTTCAGAGTGATATATTGTTTTCTCTTTCAGGTACATAATTTAAAAGATTTATTTGTTCTCTAGCCGTGACTGGTAAGGTGAAGAATAAACTTTTCCCAACAAATAATAATAATAATAAAAAGGTTAACATAAGAAAACGTTTAGATGAGCAGTATGCCAGGTAAAATACTTCCCCAAGAGTAAATTTTCATTGTACTTCAGCTTCACAATTACAATACAGAAGGAAACCTAGTATTTAGCCCAGTAGCCTACATGCAAAGGTATAGCCTATTATAAGCACATGTGCAAACATACTGTAGGAGAGGGGAATCACTTACTTGATGGTCCATGAGAGTCTCTGTTATCACCATGATGCTGTGTACACATACAATTGAAGAACGAGGAACAGCAAACATAAAAATCCAGGCCAGGAAGAAGCAAGTGCGCAAAAGCAGCAGCGGGAAAGAAGGACAATGAAAACAGTGTTAGTTCACAACTAAAATACAACATGCACCTCAATACCAAAGGCAAGGCATCAAGAGACTTGGCAGCTCAGAAAAGCTGAAGCAACAAAACTGACAAATACGCTTATAGAGCAGCCATTATTAGAAGCCATCATCATATGGTTAGTAAACAGTAACTGCCCCAACTGCTAATTCAGAGTGGAACCTCTCCATCTGCAATGTAGTGCTCAAATGACTTTATTCACGATATATTTTAAGAAATGTTTAGCTGGAACGTTTTTAGAAGACTAAAGGTCTGAAGAAAGATGAAATAACAAAACTTGTTTCCAAAACCACTCCACTCTTGGACAGGTATTTTGGAAAAACAAAATCGTCTAAGACATCAGTAATGTGCAAGCACCCACTAATGCCAGATCCAAGCCTAACTGCTTTTGCACACAGACGTGAACTTAGAAGTCACAGATTCAGTTCAACTATAAACACAGGGAACATTTTAAATTGCTCAGAATGAAAGACAAGCGTGCAGCTCTAAAATTTAAGAGGACATTTTCTATCAAACTATTTCCAAAGATTCAAGGTGTCTAACAAATTATCTCTGCACACTAATTCAAATTAGGCACTACAGGTGAGTAATTATATAGTAACAGCATGACATTTGATCTGGAATCTTTTATAAATCATTGCTACCCAAGGTCACAACTTGGGCTAAGATCCCACCATGTTCAGCCATATACAAACGTAAGGCAAGTTCCACCTACACCTTAAAGGACTTCCTACTTTTGAAATCCACAAAGAAAAGGAGGAGAAAACAAGCATACTGATCAGCATGAACATTTCCTCCTTATAAACAAGGTAAATCCAAACATGCTGCATCTTCTACACCCCAAATAAAAAACATCTGCTCCATAAAGGAGAGAAACCCTTGCTCTGTTTTAAAGAAGGTCCAATCTTGCCTCTCTGTTACGAAGACTAAACAGCAGGGAACTTGAAAAATAAAAATCTTAGCAAGGAGGAATCTTGTCTTACAATCCTGATCTCAAAACAGTGACTTTTTATCCCCCATAGCTGACTAGGGGTGTTGAACTGACAGCACAACGTGCAAATGTAAAGTACTGCAATGAGAATACAGCAATTGAAGTGCACATCATCAGAAAGGTGAGGAAACCCTTCTTTAATTATTCTGCACTTTCTGGAAAAGGACTTGATTAAACAGGAGAAGCCAAAATAAACTACAGGCGCACTTGGCAAACAATCTTCCACCCTGTCAGAGAATAAATTTAAGTCAGACTGAAACACTGCTAAGAGAACTTACCACACAGGTTCAGGTACTAGTACATGAAAAGCATTCAAGAGTTCAATGGTTTTCAAGACAAAGTGTTTCTTTTCAATGTACAGATAACATACTGCAACTAGGAAACAATTTATGTTCAGACTGGAACTGTATTACCCTACACAGGTTTTAGATTCAGGAGAACAATGACTAACAAGAGACCGAGATAAAGGAGTCTGCAGTAATTGTACAGAGATCCAGCAGCTGACTGAAGGGCTGAGAACACCACTATTCAGCACTAATCTGCTTTGCTGCATGCTAAAAGTTGGAAAACAAGAGAAGAGAACTGGAAAAATAAACTGTTAACAGACACAGAGGATCAGAAGTTTCTGAGACTCAGACAGCATGTCCACTCACAGTGCATACTTACACATTGAAGAAACAGAGTGAAAAAGCACCACAGCAGGTCCTGTCTCACTGCCTACCTCTCAAGCAGCCTTGACCACGATACAACATGACACCACAGAGCAGGGCAACTCGTCACCTGAGATGATGCAGGGGCTTTTTATGTAAATATTTTAGCATGACATGGTTAATCCTATGAACCAGTACAAACAGCTCCTGCGCCAGAGGCTGAAACACAAGCCTGTCTAACTCTGTCCCTGATCTTCTCCAATAGACATTCTGTTTACACACCAAACTGCCTCCGTTGCTGGTCAACCCCCTCTCTTCATTAGAGCTATTTGGGCCTGTGTACTTACCTAAAACCTGCAGAATATGTATTTCTAAATACTGATGCAAGATTTTAAGATGCTGAAATGAGACTATTTTAGCCAAAAAGACCTCTTCATTTTCCAATAACCCACTGGATCTCTGTCATCTGCAATTCATAACACTGCAGAACAGGCATTCAAACCCCTAAGGCAACAAGCCATGACGGTGCTTCTACTTCAGTGTTTTCGCCAAAAAGAATGTCCTCAGGGCATTCCTGTCCATCAACTCCCACAGTTTTTATGTTAAATATACAAAATTAAGAGAAGCACACACTTATTTCCAGAGACAGAGCCTACATTTATTTTAACATTTATTTAACTGGTGACTTTGCCTACAGATTACAGAACAAGTCCTTTGATAAGGGAGGTTCTTAACACTACGCAACTGATTTAGCTTCTGCTGAGGCACATCTAGTTAAAAATGTTGCTACCAAAATACACAAAACCTACCCCTCCTCCCAGTAAGGTTTTAGATTAAGACTAAGGAATAAACTCAGCAATACAAACCATCACATGAGACAGCAGCCATAACTCTCTTTTCATACAAAAGCAGCATTGTGCTTCAGAAAATCACTTATTCATTTCTCAGAAACAGAACAACTGTTACTAAACCTAAAACTATATCTGCCTACATGTACTATAAAAAAAAGTCCTTTTCCTATCAAAGATTAGGGTAAAAGCAAAAATGTATGTCATGATATCATATCTGAATCTCACACTACAGAAATAAAGCTTTTTAAAAATACTGACTAGATTTACAATCTAAACCTACACTTAAATTCTTAATACAGTTTAAATGCATGCTTTAAAGCCAAGTCAGAGTTTTCACCCTGCTGAAGACAGGCTTTTCCTGGAGGAAGTCTCTATGTGTCAATCACTGACATTACATTTAAATTCAGACACATTACAGTAAGATACATTTAAATTCAGGACCACTAACCCAACCTGCAAAGCTGATCAGTAAAAAGGACTTCTATTCCATGCTCCAAGGAAAAGAGGTACTTTTATGTCTGCTGATGTATTTAGATAGCAAGGACTGACTGTGTTAATTGTATGCAAGGCAATGTGTTTATGAAATACATGTTCTGACAAAAATCAGAACTTACTAGAACGTCTTCTTTTAAAAAAATCATTTAGAATAAGAATGGTTTACATCGGATATTCGCATGTTATGTCCTCAGTTCTGGGCCAGTGAGGATTGTTTAAAGTGAATTATGATTTTATAGAGAAAAAAAGGCAAAACTTGTTCTCAAGAACTCAAACCAAAGTGTCTAATATTTCGCATTGCTTCAACAGTGCCAGACTACAAAAACAGTTTGCTGAGCTGTCATCACATCTGCATTCAGGGACAGTATATATCAACCTAATTACAAGACAGGAAAAGCATTTCAAGCAAGATTTTTCTCCACACTGGAAAGATTCTGGAAAGAAAAACACACAGCATTAAGTTCTGTGACCTCCTTTTTCTCCCATGAGCCAACAAATACAGTAGAAAGCTAACGTCTCTAAAATGGTCTTTTTCAGGTACCTTCTAGAAACCCCTCAAAGGACTTAAAACTGCGTAGCAGTATGTTGATCAGTGTTCTTCCTGCATGTCTGCAACTCATGTATTTCACAAATTTTAATCAGACTAATGAAACAAAACAAAAGGGTGCTGGAGACAGTCTCTTCAATAGGAACTCTAGAGACAGGACAAGGGGTACGGCTCAAACTTAAACAGAGGAAGTTCATGTTAGATATAAGGAAGAAGATCTTTACTGTGAGGGTGGTGAGTCATTGGAACAGGCTGTGCAAAAAAATGGTAAATGCTCTATCCCTGGCAGTGTGCAAGGCCAGGCTGGAGGGACATGGTCTAGCGGAAGGTGTCCCTGCCTATGGGGACACCCCAGAGGGGTTGGAACTAGTTGATCTTAAGGTCCTTTCCAACCCTAACCAATCTATGATTCTATGATTGCAGCTAAGTCTGCAATACTGAAAAATCTCAAACATGACACTTCAAAAAAATTCAGACTTCTGTGAAGTGTCAGGATTTGCAAACACTCAAGGTCTTCAGGATTACTGGATCCAATCACTCTTAATATACATGCAGTGTATGCCTGAGCAAGTACATTAGACTCCCAGATAAGCTTCCAGAAATGTTTTTATCAGCTGTAGTGCAATACATAAAACTTCACATTGTAACTGCAATTAAGACAACTACCCTACCAGATTTTTTTTGGCAAGAAATGCTTAGAGTAGCCAATCACAGTATAACATCAGTTAAAAGAACTTGTTCTGAGATGATAATTCGGGTGCTTAAGCACAGGGATGAAGGGCAAATATATCCCTACTCTCAATATTCTTCTGAAGCAGACTTAGTAAAGTACATATAGCCTCATTTCAAGACACCTTCTTAAAATCATGCTATTGTGAAGGCAGGTCACAAAAAGAAAACTAACACATTTCAAACTACTTCAAAGTTTTTTGTAAACTAGTACTTCTTTTATTATTATTTTAGGAAATATGGAGCACAGCAACTGAATTGACAGATTTTCTTAAATAAATATCTTATTGCACAGTTGACATATGATACAGTATCATAGATGCACTGGCCCTGCTGCAATGAATTTGCTTATTACAGAAAAAAAGCCAAGGATTTTCTTAATGCACTGCAAAATGTCTTGCCTCCAAATTCATCACTTAAGATAACGGCAGTAATAAAACACAGTCAAATTAATACCTCCAGGCAGTAGTTGAACTATTTACAAATAACGTCTGTGACTGTGAGGTTTTATTGAGCTTAACCTCAGTTACAGAAAAAAAATATACCCTATTTTGCCTTTGGGAGGCAGTGCTTGTATCAGAAAACAACTTTGGAAACTAAAAATCATTTCCTGCTTCAGGTTCTACAGCCCTTTCACATAACACAGCTTGCAGAAAAATTAAACTCTTAAATAATTTCAATGTTACGATGATGATGAAATGTCATGCTACTTTCCTGGTTTTAAATTGTGCTTAGAAAGGAAGAGCTGGTAATTTCACTACCTCAGAAATTCTTGATAATCAGTGCAGATTATCAACTCTTTCACCTGAAATGATTCTGTTAATATATAATAATCATTCCTCCTGCCTTCTCTGCTCCTCATTCCATCAAGAAATACAATATTTTTTCTTTTACTCAGTCACTAACTAGGAAAGTATCAAGTAGTAAGACTGAGAGGAAGACCTTTTTCTTTTGAGACACCAAGGATCAAACCCAAGAATCGTATGTTTTTGCACATCCACCCCTCTTGCCATGAGAATCTAGTAAATGACGGATGATACTACATGATATTCCAAATGCATTCAACCAGAAAAGTATTGATTCAAACCAAACCAGAACATATTCAAACTGCTTAATCCTCTCCCTGCATCTTCACATTCATCTCATTACATGAAGCCAGATTTAAGCTACTCACTAAATTTCTCTCGAAGTCCCCATCAACCGGAACAGTCTCCATGTTGAAAAGGCCCGTTGTCCGTCTCTCCATCAGAGTTCTTCCATCCTGCTATTCGAGATCCTGGAAAGAAAAACATAAGAATTCAATTCCAGTGTCTAAAATCCGTTCAAGAGCTTCACTCTCTCTCCCTTATGTTTTAAGAGGGTAAATAGTCCACTATTATAAACTGTGCATATTACGGTTCCTTGCAGAACATACACATCGCCCATAAACCCCAACTTGTTAAGAACAGAGAGGGTAGTTTCAAGTAAAATGGGCAAAATGAAAGGTACTCACTGAGGCAAGCATTTACTTTTACAAATAAGGAAGAATTATGCTGGAAGAACACAAGCAACAAACAAACAAAACACACCCAAAAAAAAACAAACAAAAAGAAACCCCCAGTTTTTGCGTTGTATTTCCCCTTGTCAGCACACCACTCCTGCTCCGCAGGCATATGCACACAAGCTGTTTGGCTACATAAAAGCTATTCTGGCACAGAGTTTAGGGCTTCCCAGCAGAACTCCAGAAACAGCCACATTTTGCTTTATGGAACCAAGACACAGAAATTAAATCATAGTGCAAGCCAGCACCCTCTGGGGCAGAGCAGGCACTCAGTGGCAGTCACCACATACAGCCAGAAAACAATGCCTTGTTCTCTATGTTCTCTAGACATTTCCTATTTACTTTTTTGCTGCTAGAGAAAGAAAGCTGCAATAAACCTTAGTATGCACACAATATTTGGAACCATCATTGAGATAAGAAAATGGTCTGGAGTCAAGCAAAACTTGGTGGGAAAAACACACCTTAACCATTCATCCATTTAGTGGGTTTCAGGAGGTAAGCAGATCAAAACAGGACACCTCCAGAGATGTTGAAGCTAAATGATCTTAAGGTCCTTTCCAATCCTAACTATTCCATGAACTATTCTGTGATGTGTGTCTACAGCTCATTGCTCTGCTTCTCTCTCTCCAAAGCCCCCATCAACAAAAGATCCAAGCAGATAAGAAGGTTGCAAGCTGACCTGTTCAAAACAGTAAAGCCAGTATCCCACAGAGAGAAAAACCTGTGGTTTCACCCTCCACTCCACAGGTAAGTGGCTGATCACAGAATTAGCTCGGGGACTTTTCTGGGGTTTATTTTCCTTTGTTTTTGTCTTGGGTGGGGTGAGGGGGCAGGAAGCAGCTAAGTTACAGACCAAATTGTGAAACCAGCACTTGTGCAAGAGCAGGGGTAGCATGGGGCTGGTGACTTTTGTTTTTCAAGCAACAATGTTAGCATGTTGTGCTTAAGGTAATACATCAAGCTATGGTTTCGGTTCAAGCTTCAGCAACAACAGATTAACTGAGTACAGGGAGATGAGGAGGCATCATAGCCCCTCCTGGGAGCCTGAGGAGCATCCTCGGTACAGGAGGATGGGAGAAGAGGAGAAGACACATGATCTTGTGGTTCAAAGCCTGGCTCAGGAAATACACACTCATGAAAACAAATCTCACTGTAAATCTCATAATCAAATCTCACCATCTGTTCAACTGTTTTCTGTATTTTTATTATCTTTTTCTTTGTTTTGTATTATGTAAAGCATATTAGAATTAAAAACTCCTTAGGAAGAGCATACAGTGTTAACACACTATAGCAAGTTACCATACCACATGCCACTAAAACATGAAAGGAAGCATAAATAAAAAGTTTAACAAAATGACTGTGCTAAAGAAACTGCACATAGTTCCTTATGACTCACTTCAAAGAACTGACAAGCATCTCACTCAAGTACCTGGGTACTTACCAAGGTAGCACATAACTGGGAAGCGTATGGCTAGATGTTTCCATATACATTAGAAACAGCAGACATCTGAAGGGAGATGACTGCAAGTGATTAATTTACATTAATAAAATGAAAGATGGCATTACCACAGAAAGAGGACTTCACCCCAGAAGCTGTGATTCCCAGGGCTGCAGGCACTGCGACTCACGCCTTCCTCACAGCCACGCAGGGGTGCAGAACTGGGTGATGACTCTTGGAGGCTGCTCCTTGTCATCTCTTCCCCCCACACCCATTTCAGGTTCTATTATTAACAGGCAATTCAGCAATACCGGGCTGCATACATACTCAATTTACAGAAACACTAAACTCTCTTAAACAGGATGGAAACCGAGTGGTATTGCAAACTGATGTATACACTGACATTTAAAACAGTCAGCTTTTTTAGTTACACAAACTTGCAAGCATCCTGAAGTTATCCAAATAAACAGGTCTTTCCTGAAATAGGAACATTCACCCTAGAACAAATTTAAACCCATCTCTATTTTTAACAGACATTTTTTAACTCTTAATTTTTGTTGTCAGAATGGTGTATTCTGCTCTTCCGTTTGTTTAAGCAACCACAGCCACTACACCCTTCCTTATCTCCGTCTCAAGAGTAGTATCATCAGACAAGCACCCTAATGTTTAATTCTCAGTTTGTGCTCACTTGTGGTCGCCAGGAAACACATAATCCAGCAGGGTCCCAAGGACTGCAGAGAAGTTACTTGGGAGAGGGCCTGCTCACGGCATATTTGAGCAGGCAGGCAGAGTAAAGCAGGTGCAGAAACAGTTAAGGACTATCTTCCCCCACACTGTTTAGCTTATGAGAAGACAGCCAGCTTAGCTTATTTGTCTTGGCAAAATAAAAGCTGAAAACAAAAAACATTGCTCCTGAAATGTGCCAAAATAAACACCAAGGAAGGAAAAGAGATCTCTCAGCAAAAGGACATTAACAAAAAGTCAAGTATGAACTTGGAGAACAGATTTATCTTGAAAATTACTTAACACTTCCAACCACCGGAATCCCAAAGTTTTGAAACAACTTTCCTATCAATGTAGGAAAGGGAATTTGTTTGTAAACGCAGCCAGGTTATTATGAACAGATTACTTCAGCCATTGGTAGCTTTTTAACAATCTGTTTTTCAATCAGCTGCACTTCAGGAATAGGAAAATCCTGCTTGGGTCTCCCATATAACCAATGGAGAGCATGCATCAATGAAAGCTAACACTGCATGAACAGGACCTTTTCTACCTTTACACATATATACCCAAATATCGTATGTGACTTCTTATCACTTCCCAACTCCCACCTATCAAACAAAACAAAGAAATACTTTCAAAAGCCATAAAAGCATACCTCAGTAGTACAGTGTTACACAGTATTCTCTTAGGTACAGTAATGCAGGCTACAGAGCAAAAGCAGCACAAGTCAGGTTCCTTGGTTGTGTCGTAAGTCTGGCAGCAAGCATTTGCTCACACCTCAGTGAAGTGGGTTTGGTCTGTTCTGTATTGATTTACAAATTCCATATGTTAACCAGATTATACAAGTGTTTAGCATAGGGATATGTTCATTTAACTGAATAAAGGACTTCCTAGGAAAGACATTTATTTTCTCTTTCAGCTTAAGAAAAGCTCCTCACCAAATATGTAACTTGTCCCAGGCATGTTAGAGAGTTCAGGCCTACTCCATGGCAGTAATACCCTGCTGGAGGTACATTTCTAACAATAAAACTTGTCCAGGCTTCATCTGGGATATAGATAATTTCCTACCTAGTAGCTGGTGCAGTGCAGTGCTGTTTCAGCTTTAGTCTGAGAACCGTGCCGATAACACACCAATGTCTTAGTTGTTGCTAAGTAATGCTTACTCTAATCAAGGACTTTTTCAGTCTCTCATGCTCTGCCAGTGAGGAGGGGCCAAGAAGCCAGGAGGAAGCAGAGATAGGACACCTGACCCAAACTACCCAAAGGGGTATGTATTCCACACCACAGCACCTCATGAGCAGTGTATAAACTGGGAGGAGCTGGCCAGGAGTCACCAATTGCTGCTCAGGCTGGGCATGGGGCAACAGGTATTGTGCATCACTTGTCCATCTCGGGTTTTATTCCTTTCTCTCTCGATTTCCTTTTTCTTTCCTTTATTTCCTTCCCACAGTGAGAATAATCAGCCACTGGAATAATCTTCCCAAGGAAGCGGTGGATTCCCCAACAACACTAGACACTTTGAAGATCCAGCTGGATAGGGCGCTGGGACATCTAGTCTAGGTCATACTTTGCCTAGAAAGTTTGGACCAGATGATTCATGAAGTCCCTTCCAACCTGGTTTTGTATGATTTCACTTTATTTCAATTACGAAACTGTTCTTATCTCAAACCACAGGCTTTACCTTATTTTTCCAATTCTTATCCCCATCCTAGGTGTGGGATGGTGGGTAGATGACGTTTAGTTGCTGGCTGAGGTTAAACTACAAGAGCGTATTTTGGCACTCAACATGGGGCTCCAGGAATTTGAGATAAGAATAGTAACTGGGAGAGGTAAGGGGGAAAACCAGGGACTGAACAACGTTAGAAAATGAATGTGAAATTGTTGCAGCTGTGGAAAAGGCATGGGGGGTGGGTTGTGGGTGTAAACTCTCCACTTTCCTTTAGTGTTCTGGTGATGTTATTTTGACTTTGCTGTAGGGAATTCTTTTTCTGTTGATGCAAGTGAAGAAGTTTGTGTGAGGAACACTGTTTTTTGTGATAATTCTTAAATATGTGATTTACATGGGCAAGGTTGGGGTAGGGGGAAGGCTTCTATGAGAGGCTGCTAGAGGCTTCCCCCTCATGTCCGACAAAGCCAATGCCTGCTGGCGCCAAGGCCAAGCCCATCAGTGATGGTGGTAGCACCTCAGGGATAACATTTAAGAAGGGGAACAAAATGCCAACTGTAGTCAGAGAGACAACAGCAACAACTACACAGAGATCCAGGCCGGTGCAGAAGGAGGGGAGGAGGTGCTCCAGACACCAGAGCAGATTCCCCTGCAGCCTGTGGTGCAGGTGCAGCCCATGGTGAGGCAGCTGTGCCCTTGCAGCCCATGGGGGTCCACAGTGGAGCAGGGGGATGCCCAAAGGAGGCTGTGACCCTGAGGGAAGCCCACACTGTAGCAGTCTCCTGGCAGGACCTGTGGCCCCATGGAGAGAGGAGCCCACACTGGAGCAGGTTTCCTGCAGGACTGGTGACCTCACAGGGGACCCAGGCTGGAGCAGTCTGTGCACCCATGGAAGGGGCCCACGCTGGA